GTGCTTTGGTTGAGGATCTTTTTACCATTATGGCTTTCTTGCAAATACTCAACCAAAAAACCGTGAGGGTTAAAGCATGTTTAGGGTCCTTCACCTAGCCGAAAAAAGAAAATGAAAAAAAAAAAAAAAAAAAAAAAGAGAATATACTCTTTTTTTTTTTTTTTTTTTTGAACGAAAAGAATACACTGTTATGTTTGAATATATAGTTGTCATATAAGGAGTACTATAAATATAAACGTGATTAGTTATTATGGTTAGAACGCGTATACCTTATGGGTCAGTGTCTAAACAATTAAAATGATGCAGCTGCTATTGCTAGAGAAGCAGGACAACCACTAGTGATAGAGGAGGTGATAGTGGCTCCACCAAAAGCTCATGAAGTTCGGATCAAGATCATTTGCACTTCACTCTGTTATAGCGACATCACCTTCTGGAAATTAAAAGTAAGTACACTTCCCAGCAAAATTTTTTGTTTGTAATTGCAAAATTTATTCAATATGCTTTATAACTCGCTCTGTCTCCTTTTATTTGCACCATAGGTCCACTTTATGTGAGAATTTTACAAGTCATATGTTGCAACATGGAAAATACTACTATATATTTTAGTATTCATTCCGTTTTAATAATGATTTTTTCACCATGTACTCCTAAATTTTCAGTTTATTCCTCATATAAAACTAGACTTTTTTAAATACAATATATGCCTATAGTATTAATTATAATGCACCATAAATGCAATGACTACAAGATGAGTGAAATTTGGTTAATTATGCCCAATCACTCTTCTCCATAGCCTAACCCTTGAAACCACGCCAGATCTCTACAACTATGCTTGAATGATTGGTTTTAGGGGTGGGGAATGGACATTTAGGGTGGGTAAGGGAAGGGAGGATACTTGGTTTCAGGTGTGGGAGAAGTTTGGGTGATTTCTGAGGCATAATTAACCTTTAAAATTAACTAAGCTAATATATGCATGTCACTAAGGTATATATAGTGTTTTTTTGGTAACACAAATGTTTACAAAAATTTGATGTACAGTAACCATATTGTAAATATAAAGAGCAAAACAAATTGGGCACGTGTGGGCCCTATTACCTTCCATCTCTCTCTTCTTTCGTCATTTCATATTCTTGTTTCAGTTTATTATTTGGCTGCATAAATTATTCAATTTATCATCTTCCTGCACAAATTGGGTAAAATTACACCCGTTAGTGAAGCCGATCAAAATGCTAATATTTTTTTTTTTTTTTTTTTTGGTAATTTTGTGTTTATTTTTGTTGATTTTGATACTCTGTTTTACATATGTAGCTTTATTACTTTTATGAAAAAAAGGGGTCACTTTTGTGAAAATAAAGGGTCATTTCTGTGAAAATAAAGGGTCACTTCTGTGAAAAAAAAAATCATTTTTGTGAAAAAAAGGGTCACTTTTGTGCAAAAAAAGAGTCACTTTTGAAAAAAAAAGTCACTATATAAGAAAAAAGGATAACTTTTCGCAAAATGTTCGATATACAATAAAATTATTGTAAAGCGGGACATGCAAAAGTTTTTGTTTTGGTAAAACTTGGGAGTATGGTGTATTTGAAAATGTTCAGGGTATGTGGTGAATAAACAATTCGGGGTTATTTTAGGCAGAAAAATAAAATAATATGTGAAAGGGTATGGTTAGGAATATATTTTTTTGGAAAAATAAGAGATGGAAATTTTAATGGAAACCATTTGAAATAATGTGATAGATTGAGCAATTTCCATAGCTATTAGGGACATTTTTAAGGGTTGGGACAATTCTTTTTAACCAGGATACCGATATATGAAAAATATTGTGGCTAATCCAGATCCAATTTGGCCTGCCATTGAGTGACTACTAGACTACCTTACTTTGATCTAAGCTAATTTTGTTATGTTTTCTTTAACAGGATTTTCCTGGATGCTATCCAAGAATCTTTGGCCATGAGGCTGTTGGGTAACTACTTGTAACTATAACTTTTTCTTAGTATTTATTTTTTGGATCAATTCTCACTTATATGTCATTATGTCAATTGCTGATGATTAACCTTCTTTTGATGCTTATATCTCCGGCTTATGTTATTATGCTTATACACATGAGATCATGTAACATTTGAGATTGTGTGTGTGCGTGCGTGGTTTAGTCCAGCACTAAACATCGATTGGACTACTAATAAATGACATGTATTAACTAAGTAATCGGCTGTAGGATCGTAGAAAGTGTAGGAGAGGGAGTAGATGAAGTGGTGGAAGGTGATTATGTGCTACCAGTTTTCATAGCAGATTGTGGGGATTGCAATGACTGCAAGTCCAGCGAGAGTAACTTGTGTTCGAAGCTGCCATTCAAGATCTCCCCGTGGATGCCTAGGGAAGATAGCAGCAGATTCACTGATTTGAACGGGGAAACTCTGTTTCATTTCTTGTCAGTTTCAAGCTTTAGCCAGTATACTGTTGTCAACGTTGCTCATCTCACTAAGATTGACCCATCCATTCCTCCCAATAGGGCATGTCTTCTAAGCTGTGGGGTTTCCACTGGTAATATCTTTATTCTTATGCCGTATTCTTTGCCTCTTATATATATGAAATTATGAAGAACAGACTAATTTATTTGTGAACTATGATATTAATTATACATTATCACTGATACATTTTTAAAACTCAGATCATCATTCTAAACTGGTTTAGCTTGATTAATGTCGTTTGTTTTAGGGATTGGTGCTGCTTGGCGAGCTGCCAATGTCAAACCTGGATCAACAGTTGCTATATTCGGCATTGGAGCTATTGGATTGGGGGTACAACATTGCTTCATGCTATGCTAAATTTGTGTGATTTTGTGTAGCTTTGGTTAATTTGTAGAACTTTTTTGCGTTTCTGTAAATTATTATGAACAATGACACATGTGTATGCTGTTTCTGGGTGACAAGGTGGCCGAGGGAGCAAGGCTTTGTGGAGCAACTAAGATAATAGCAGTAGATATAAACCCAGAAAGATTCGAATTTGGTATAATACAGTATAATTTCAATCTCCAATCTACTTGGTTTTCCATCCCATGACATAAAATTGTGTAGTTAGTATGATTTTGATAATCCTTTTATATGTTGCTTCAGGTAAAAAGTTTGGAGTTACAGACTTTATCAACCCGAACAATTGTGAGGATAATAAGACTGTTAGCCAGGTCTTGGTTCTTTCCTTTATCTAACACAGCCAACTTTGGGAATGCAATACACAAGTAGTTATTCTTGGCATTTCGCCGTTGCTTAAACCTTGATCTAATGGTTTGCTTTCATTTATCGAGCAGATTATATGCGAGATGACAGATGGAGGTGCAGATTATTGTTTCGAATGTGTAGGAAATGTAACTTTGGTACAAGAAGCTTATGCTTCATGCCGAAAGGTTTTTCTTCTTCCATTTCCTTCTTTCTTACCCTTAATATAACAAGTTCAAGTATACTTGTGCAATATTGTACATGTACAAGCTATATGGCACGAATCATCCTATATATAATCTTAGAGAATTGTGTGCGCGTGTTTTGCATTGTGATTTCGAGGAATTGAAGCAGAGATTATTAAAATTACATACATGTCGTATAAATCGTATTAATTGATTATATGTTTCAGGGTTGGGGAAAAACGATTGTGCTAGGAGTGGACAAGCCAGATGCACAATTAAGCCTCCTTTCTATGGATGTGCTGCTTAGCGGTAAATCTATAAAAGGGTCAATATATGGAGGTCTTAAGGCAAAATCTGATGTTCCTATCCTTGTAAAACGTTATTTGGACAAGGTAAGTTCTTAGTACTTGAATTAAATAATTATTGGTATTTGCATGTTAGCATTTGGTATTTTGCATTATACTTTCGTGAAATTGTTAATTTGTTAAGATTAAATTAGTATTTTATGTTTTCAATTCTTAGGAATTTACGAGTTTTTTTATAAGGTAATAATGATATATGTAATTTTTAGTACTCTGTTTTATAGTAGTACTATAACTATATAAATGTTTCTACAAATCATAATTTGCCCTATTTTCTTGCAGGAAGTTCGACTTGATGAATTTGTGTCACATGAGATGAAATTTGACGAGATAAATAAAGCATTTGAATTGCTTATAGAAGGGAAATGTCTTCGATGTGTAATATGGATGGATTAAGAAGTTCTTTGTCCTTTTTCAAAAAAAAAAAAAAAAAGAAGTTCTTTATCCATTAATTTGTTGTATGTTGTGATCTATGACAAACTCAAATAATGTATGAATGATGTTAAACAAAATTGTAAGAGTTTAAATCTCAAGCTCTTAACGTTCTATTATATAAGTAACATTTACTACTAGTGTCTTTTTAAACAAAAAATTATAACTAATTTTTGTAGAGTTTACTAAGTGAAAAGTAGGTTAAAATAGGACTTTATCACATGAGAGTTAAACAAAAATTGTTAAGTGGTAACTTCCTATAAATCAACAATTTTTCACTATGCAGGTTTCACATACACAGTTCTTAATTATATTACAAAAATTGTAGGAGTTTATAGGTATGATTGCGGAAAGCAAGAATCACATTCATATAGCACCTAATCCCAAGATCATGCATAACACATAAAGAATTAGAATTAATACTTTTGTAGCGTGATTCCACGTGTGATCGAACAAGAACAAGGGAGACAAAGAACCTCAAACGTGATTCCTCTACTTGGTCCACAGGCACGGATTAAGACCTCCACTAATGCTAGTTAGTTGCAATTGAACCCTTCAATTGACCTTCTAAGGAGAAGAACTGTTAGATTATGGAAATAATCTTTTGTAATTATCTTGCATATATTTAGTGTATATCTTTCCTAGTTTAGCATAGCTTAACCTAGGCTCCTAATCTTGTATATATACTAATCTTTGATGAATGAAAAGGCCACAGCAAATATTCACATATTCTCTCATGGTATCACAAGTCTAGGTTTCTTTCCTGAAATCCCTAATTCTCTCTTCTTCCGCACTTCTATTTTCTCTCCTACATGGTCGACTCAAGCAAGATTCATCCTGCTACTCTTGTGAACAACATCAAGTCTTGTATCCCCATCATTCTGGATTATGAGGGCAAGCAATTTAACACTTGGTCAACTCTTTTCCAACTTCATTGCCGTGCGAATTTGGTAATCGAGCACATAATTCCACCTCCGGTGGATCCTTCAGCCAAGAAAACTGATCCCACACCTGCTGAACAAGCCTTTACTCAACGTCTTGACGACATCGTTCGACAATGGATTTATAATACCATCTCCCCTGACCATATGAATTCAATTATTGATAATGATGACACAACGTTGGATGCATGGAAACGGTTGGAGGAATTCTTTCTCAACAACAAGTCTGCTAGAGCTTTGCAACTTGACGCTCAATTTACAAACACTCGGCTAAAGCATTTTGATGGCGTCAAGGCATATTGCACTGCATCTTAAGTCTCTCGCAGACAACTTGAAAAATGTTGGGGATTAAGTCTCTGATAATCGTATGGCACTGCAACTCTTAAAGGGTTTAACATAGGAATACAAGCCCTTACAAACCTCTGTTCGCCATATGAACCCTCTGCCTTCCTTTGATACTCTCCGATCCATGCTCGAGCTTGAAGAGCAAGGTAATGATGTCGATATCACCCTTAACACCAACGAAGAAGCGCATCTTTCTCATGCCAATTCCAAGGGTCAGCTGGGTCAAGGAGACTCCTCGCAGAATTCTGCTTCTCGAGGGCAGCCTCGTCAAGGTGGCCGGAAAAACAAGGGAAAGGGCGGTAAAGGGAAGGGTGGTTTCGCCCCCGCTGCCGCAAACCGGAGCAACCAGCAGCAGCCGCCGCCGCAGAACTAGCAGCAGCGCTGGTCGGGTCAGCCCCAGCAGCAGCAGCAGTGGGGCACGCCACATCAGGATCCCTGGCTGCTCCCCCCTCCTTGGACCTTCTGGAACCAAGGGTCTTGGGCCGTGCCTCCCTGTCCCTACCCATCTCAGGGACCAGCACAGCAGCAATGGTTCGCAAGGTCTCCTTAGCCCGGTGTTCTCGGGCCTCGTCCTCAACAAGCCTACTATGTGACCAATCCACCTTCGTCTATGGGTTATGCGCCTACCAATATTGAGCAAGCAATGCATACATTGTCTATTCCCGATCCGAATTACTACATGGACACGGGTGCTACGTCTCACATGACAAATTCCCAAGGTAAATTGTCTTCGTATGTTCAATTAAATAAAAGCAGTAATAATTCTATTATTGTTGGTGATGGTAGCAAAATTCCAATTAAAGGTTATGGTCACGAATCTCTTAATCAAAACACACTCCAACTCAAAAATGTCCTTCATGTCCCAAAGCTTATCAAAAATCTTATTTATGTTCGAAAATTCACTATATATTGACAATAATGTTTCCATTGAATTTGATCCTTTTGGGTTTTCTGTGAAGGATTTGCAGACGGGGAGCAAAATAGTGAGATGTGATAGCAGTGGCGATCTTTACCCTTTCTTCTCGGATCGTCAAGTCCTTTCTTATTCCTCTCCCTCAGCTTTTGCAGTTGTCTCTCTGAGTGTGTGGCATTCCCGTTTAGGCCATCCGGGAAATACAATTTTAGGTTCTTTGCGTAGTAGTAAATTGATCAAATGTAATAAGGCTCATATTGATGTTTGTCACTCTTGCCCTTTGGGAAAATTAATAAAATTGCCTTTTTATAATTCTCAATCTCATACTACTATGCCCTTTGACATTATTCATAGTGATTTATGGACTTCTCCCGTATCTAGTTCTCTTGGGCACAAATACTATGTTCTTTTTCTTGATGATTACACAAATTTCTTGTGGACTTTTCCAATTGCATCCAAGTCTCAAGTTTTTAACTTTTTTCTTCGAATTAGAACCTATATCCGTACTCAGTTTGAACGGGAGGTCAAAGCTTTCCAATGTGATAATGGAACCGAGTTTAAAAATGATCCTTTTATTAAATTTGGTCACCAACATGGGATGGTTTTTCGCTTATCTTTTCCATACTCTTCTCCTCAAAATGGCAAATCCGAACGTAAAATTAAGACTATATTAATAATATCGTTCGCACTCTCCTTTGTTGCTTCCTGCGCCCGCAGCCACTGCCCAACACCACGGGCAGTCCCCTCACTCCTCTCCTCCCTCCTCTCCTCCTCAATCCCATCCCATGGTTACTCGTAGTAAACATGACATTGTCAAACCCAATCCCAAATACCGAGATCAATCCCATCACACCTCTACCTCCATATCACCCATTCCAAAGAACCCGGTTCATACCCTTCGTGACCATAATTGGAAAATTTCTATGCAGGAAGAATATGATGCTCTTATTGACAATGGAACTTGGAAATTGGTTCCGCGGCCACCGAATGTGAACATAATTCGGTCATTGTGGATTTTTCGGCATAAGACCAAGTCTGATGGGTCTTTTCAAAGACATAAGGCTCGTCTTGTTGGTGATGGTAAAACTCAAAGGGAAGGAATTGATTGTGATGAGACTTTTAGCCCGGTTATTAAACCGGCAACTATTCGGGTGGTACTTAGCATTGCATTAGCTAAGTCTTGGCAAATTCATCAATTGGATGTGAAAATGCTTTCTTACATGGTCATTTGAATGAGACATTTTACATGTATCAACCTATGGGATTCAAAGATCCTGATAAACCTGATCATGTTTGTTTGTTGGAGAAGTCACTTTATGGTCTGAAACAGGCACCCCGAGCGTGGTACAAACGTTTTGCAGATTTTGTGGCTACTATTGGCTTTGCTAATAGCAAATCTGATACATCATTGTTCATCTATCGCCATGGTAATGATACTGCTTATCTCCTTCTGTATGTTGATGATATTGTGCTTACTTCTTCATCGAAGTCTCTCCGACGACATATTATTTCTAGGCTCAGCTCTGAATTTGCAATGAAAGATTTGGGTCCTTTGAGTTATTTTTTGGGTATTGCTGTTACTAGAGGTAAAAATGGTTTATTTTTATCTCAAAAGAAGTATGCGCAGGAAATTTTGGAAAAAGCAGGAATGGCAAATTGCAATCCTTCGCCTACTCCTGTTGACACCAAAGGCAAATTGAGCACTAAGGAGGGTGCTCTGTATGACGATCCTACTTCTTATCGGCGCCTCTGTGGCGCTTTGCAGTACTTGACTTTCACTCGACCCGATATCTCTTATGCGGTACAGCAAGTTTGCTTATTTATGCACTCACCCCGTGTTGAACTCATGGATGCATTGAAACGCATTCTTCGATATATTAGAGGTACGACAGATTTTGGTTTACAACTGCATAAATCTTCTGTGTCTTCTCTTGTATCTTACACGGCTGCAGATTGGAGCGGGTGTCCGGACACTCGTCGTTCTACATTAGGGTATTGTGTGTACCTTGGTGATAATCTGATTTCTTGCTCTTCGAAACGCCAACCACTTTGTCTAAATCCAGTTGTGAAGCAGAGTACAGAGGGGTTGCAAATGTGGTTTCTGAATCTTGCTGGATTCGCAATTTATTGCTAGAGATGTTTCTTCCTATTCCGAAAGCAACACTGGTTTATTGTGACAATGTTAGTGCGATTTATCTCTCTAGTAATCCGGTACAACATCAGCGCACTAAACACATTGAGATGGACATTCACTTTGTTTGTGAGAAGGTTTAACGCGGCGAAGTACGTGTCCTACATGTTCCATCCCATTACCAGATTGCAGACATTTTTATTAAAGGTCTGCCTAAGGTTTTATTTGATGATTTTCGGGACAGTCTCATCGTTCGTAGTCCTACCGTTTCGACTGCGGGGGTGTGTTAGATTATGGAAATAATCTTTTGTAATTATCTTGCATATATTTAGTGTATATCTTTCCTAGTTTAGCATAGCTTAACCTAGGCTCCTAATCTTGTATATATACTAATCTTTGATGAATGAAAAGGCCACAGCAAATATTCACATATTCTCTCAAGAACGAGCAACAAACCAATCACGAACCACCACAAGCGCCACTAGAGGTGGCCGGCCGTGAGTCCAAGGGGAAGGAGAGAGGCGTGAGACAGAGAGAGAGAGTGAGAGTTTTGGGAATACTGGTTGCTTGATGCACAATTAACTGTTAATTGTGTTGTCTCTTACAACCCTAGGCATGGACCTTATTTATAGATCTCATCTCTAAATAAGAGTCCGTGACAAAGCCCAAATCCTAACTATAATCTAACTATGCTAGCCCAATCCAATTCATGATTAGTTACTTGTTCATGAGGCCCATAAATAATGGGCCTCTAACTTGCTTAACCCAATACCTTTGTTGTGTGACATCATAAGATCCATTCTAGTGGGCTTTGGACTATTTGACTAGCCCAAAGATCAATGATCATAGTCTAGCAACAGATAATGACGATCCAAAAGAACGAACTTATTATCTCCATAATAGTGATCCTTGATATATCTAGTAATTGCACTTATTGAAGACAGAACTCCTTCAAAAATGACAAGGTGACTAGGTAAAGTACTGATTTATTTAAGAAAATGTTCCTTTTAAGATGATCATCCCAGTTTGACTGTACACGTTAACTATACAAGTTTGCTAACGTATTACTTTGATTGTGGCACGTTTGCCAACACATTACTTTGACAATATCATAAATATCTTTATACGGAGTACATATTAGTAAAATATATAACAATTTTAATATTAATAAACTATTCATTGAGACGAATTAAACAAAACCTAACATGACTATGTTATGTTTAGGTTTTATACTGCGTATATTAAAATTTATTAGAATGTGCTCTCATCTTATAAATAGTGTCAAGATTCCAATTGAAAAGATCGTTATAAAACAAAGGGAGTATATGGTTAACTTTTTATGTTTATATTTATGACTTTATATGATTACTATATTCACTTAGCCAATTTACGCTTTAGTTTGAGTACAATAGTTATTTAGGGGTAAATAAATTATCATTTGAAAATCATGGGTCCATTACATTGAGTTTCTGGCTTGTAGCAGATCAAAGGATCATGCAAGTCTGTAACCTTTGGAAGTGATAGCAAATGGAGTTGTTATATCATTAAAGCATTGGAACTCATATATTAAATGGAGTTGTTGTTATTAACCCCCAAAATTGAAGTTGATTGAGACATGTCAACCATTCATCTTTTCAATCAAAACTATAAATACTAATCAAAATAATAATATGCATTATTATGTTACATGCTGATAGAAATGTTTTGGAAAGCATCTTATGAATAAGACCAAACAGAATAGACGACAGTCGCTAAATCAAAACAGCAAGTCTTTCATTTAGATAACAATATATTTGTAGTTTTGTGCGATATATAGAAATAGAATAGTTTGTCCACTGGCTATCACAAGTGTTTCAAAAAAACCAATTAAACTCAACCCAACTTAAAAGTGATCCGACTCAAAACTTTAATTTGTAGGCAAAATTG